GGAAGTGGCAGGGAGGGACTCAGTGACAATGGTGTCACCCAGGCCGCTCTCCAGGAGCCGTGGGAACATTTGCAGCCCCTCTCTGCCAAGCTGCTTTGAATGAAGGGCTGTCTGCTGTGCCCCGCCCAAAGTGGAAGCCAGGCGGGACCCTTAGCAAGGCTGCTCCCAGCTGAGTCTAGTGGCCCCTTCTCGTGTGGCAGCTACACATGAGTCTGGCCAGTGGACACAGCAGGGTCCACAGAAGGACCCTGGCCTTGTTCCATCTCAGTGGGATTTAGAGCTCCCTGCAACTGGCTGCAAGAGCACAGGCCACTCACTGGACAACTCTCAGAAGCCACACAGATACAGCTTCTTTGTCACCTCCCTGCCTATTTGAAAGCTTCAAGAAGCACGTTTCTGACTTAGGGCAAGGACCCTATCTAATCCCACCCACCTCCACATCCACCTCCTCCTCGGGCAACCTTGCACATTTAGAAGGCAGCAGCCTGACATTATGGAACCCAGCAAAGGCCAGCCACGGCGCGGGTCCCCCACAACACCCTGGTCAAGCAACTGAGTCAGGGGATCCAATATCATGCAGGGTGCTGGAGCAAACTTTCTTCCAAGAGCAAATTATATTCAAAAAAGAAAACAACAATAACCATCCTCTCTAAGCCTAGTGCACACATACACTGTTTACTTTTACCTCTTAGGACAGGGGACAAGAGAGCCCATGCCCATCACTTCATATAAGGAGGAGCTTAAAACAACTAGGCATGAAAAAAACTGAAAACTCTACCAACGAGGCCGATATAAGAGGGGCAGGGTCTACGGAGCGGCAGAAGCCGAGGCTGCAGCGCAGCACAAAACAGGCGCAGACGTGGCCGCGCAGGCGCAGTGCGGCAGAGCAGCCCCGTGCACCGGCTTGCGTCCAGCAGGCTGCGCTGCCCTTTGGGAGTGAAAAGGGACACCTTCCCCCCATTCTAATGGGACTATTCAACCACATGAACAGCAGCAGCTCCAGGCCCTCTCTTGCTCTTGTCAAAGGCGTTTCTTTTTTCATTTTTCCTTCTCTTGTGGTACTGGGGTTTGAACCCAGGGCTTTTGAACTAAGCTATATCCCTAGTAGCTCTTTATTTCTTCTGTTAAGACAAGGTTTCCCTAAATTGTCCAGGCTGGGCTTGAACTTGAAATCCTCTTGCTTTAGCCTCTCAGAATGCTGGGATTGTGGACATGTACCACCACACCCAGAGGTTTCTTTTCATTTTCTTGAAACCAACTTCTTACACTAAAAATTGGAGATTAGCACCTTCCATTTTGAAGAAAACAATCTACTAAATGATTTTTTTTTTAAGACCCACTTTACGGGCTGGCCAAATAGCTCAGCCGATTAAAGCGCCTGCTTAGGCAGATGCAGGGGTTAGAAGTTTGATCCCCCCACCTGCCTGCCAGCCCCGCCCCCAGGGCACACTGAGATTGGGCGTGGTGGCACACAGATGCACCTGTAATCCCAGCACTTGAGAAGATGAAAATAGAAGGATCACCACGAGTCCAATCTACGCAGTGAGACCCTGTAGACCCCTGCCCTAAATACAAAAAATAAAATAAAAACTACTTTGCATCTTTTCACTATGAATTTTGAAAGCATACATTAGGTTTTCAAAACTAATGGGTGATGGGTCCTCACAGGACTTTGGGAGTAGCTGGTAACACCCTGGGGCCCACGGGTCCGGCGGGTCCCTACGCTGAGCCTTCCCTACCCTCCTCTGGCCCCCAGAAGCGGTGCAGGGGCCCCGCTGGTGCCTACAGGGCTGCGTTCTTCCTTCCTGCCCTGTACCTCAGCTCGCCTGGCTTCTCCGTTGATCTCCACCGCTCTCTATCTCCACATCTGCTTCTATTTCTGTCCTACAGCCCTACGCCCAGCTTCTCACATGGCCCGGAGCCCTCCCCAGCCAGGGCCGGCTAGGATCCCCTGAGAATCAGCAGTGGCTCCAATGAGCCGGTGACCAGGCTTCGGGCCCACACCGGGACAGCACATCGACCTGGGGGAGGGAACAGCAAGCATGACATGCGGGCATTTCCCACGTGACTTTCTTTGCACTGGCAAGAAGCAAACGAGAGCCCTCTACAGAGATGCGCAGGATCAGAAAAGCCGTGCACCGTGTAGAGCTTCCACCATCCAAAGCCCGGCTCCAGGGCTGAACAACAGGGACTGCGGTTTCATGACTTCACCTTGATGTAACCTGCTTCATACCTCGCCTGTGAGGACTAAACATGTTCACAGGCTTTCGGCCCGGGGATCAGGGTCTCACCCGCAGTAATGGCTGGCGCAGGCTTCAGTATTATCTCTCTGAGCCATGGACTCGTGGGGGCGAGGTCTGCTGGGCGGTCCATTCCTGTGACATTCCAGAATGCAGCACTGGGCCTGGTCCTTCCTACTTGCTCAATAAACATTTGTTGACTAATCGGTGAAAATATAACACACTGCCTGAAATGGACAAGATTCCAGAAAGAGCCACCTCACCCCTCTCCTCCCCTTGACTCTCACCTGCCCGGCTCAGGGCAGCCAGCTGGGCTCCTCTCAAAGGCTGAGTTGGGTCATGTGACTTCGGGTCTCTTCCCTGGCCCCGCCCCCCTGCTCTGGCCCCCTGCTGCCTCTCCTCCTCCTCCCTTTATGCTGCCCTCACACCGGCCTCTCTTTGTGCCCCTGAGCCTGTGCAGTGCTGCCCCCCCCATACATTCTCAGCCCCAGTGTCTTCCTAAGAGGAATCTCAGCCGATGCCCTTCACCCATCTGCAGCATCGCCTCAGCTCTCCGTGTCCAAAGCTCCCACACCTGTCCTTCACTCCACCCACCCGATACTCCAAACACCTCTCTCATTTGTGTGATTCATCAATGTCACTCTCCATGGCTGCTCATTCTTCCTCGGGTTTCAGCACCACGGGGCACAGCATAAACACAGGAGGGTCTCAATACACACTTGCAGACAAGCTGAACGGACAGACTAAGCAAGCAAAGACATCCTGGCCCTGACTTCCCCAGCCAGGAGGGCCTGAGCTCGGGCTCCTATTCTGGCTCTGTACAGAACCTTGGGGGGCCTCCCGGAATAGATTGCTCTATTAATCTGCTTTGAATCAGTTTCTCCATTACTTCCAAAAGCTTTGATTCCAACAGTCTCACAGCAGCTTGGAGCCCAGGTGGTCCCCTCCTAAGACAGGGCAATGACAGAAAGGCTCTCTTGGGCAAAAAGTAGCTTGCAAAGGCTATAAAGAAAGTAGTGACAGACTCCCCTCCCACCAATGCAGGACAAAAGTACCTAATGCCACCGATATGAAGCCACACACAGGACCCAGCCTCAGACTGCTGGCCGTGCAGGAGGAAGCCCAGGTTCCTCCAGGCCCACTTCTCAGGAAGGGACCACCTCCCCCTCCACACGCTAGGCTGGGATGGAGCAGGTGTGGGGGTCCCACTGAGCTGGCAGCAGAGTGCAGCTTCCCAGGCTGCAGAAGCAGCTGCAATCCACAGACAAGACAGCAGGGAGGAGGCGGCTCCAGAGCCCTGAAGGCCTTGGCCTCAGGCTGTGTCAGCGCAGGAAGAGACTATGGGGCTTCCCAGAGGGAGCTTCTACAGAGCAGCTCTAGAGACGGAGCAATGGTAGCACACCAGAGCTCCAGCCCACCAGCGTGGGGACCCCCTATACCAAGCAGCTACGCTGCTAGGCCCCTGCATAAGCACACTCCTTAGAGTAAGGCAACTCGAGTCCTGCCAGCCAAGGCCTACAGCCAGTCCTCAACTAGAACCACACAGAAAGTAATTGAATGGCTCAGAGCTACTCGGGCCCTCCACAAACCCACCCCTGACAAAATAAAATATAAAATGCACCCCGCACAAGTTTAAGGGGATCAGGCAGCCACTGCACAGCCCTTAAGCAAAAAATAAAACCTAGAGTCACTGTAAGGTTCAAGACACACACTGTCATCACAATGCCAGGGTCAGTAACTACTAGAGACACAAAGAAAGTCAAGATGTGACTCAGAGTCAAGAAAAACAAAATCAGTGACTAGAAACAGACCCTAACGTCACTGCAGTGTTAGATTTAGGAAGAGCAATTTGCAGGATTCATAAGTTCTTACCATGACCCTAGAAGTCCTTAACCAGCGGAATACACCAAAGCCCTTGTGGAGATGGCAGGGCTGGGAGTTGGGGTTCGGTTGGACTTCACTGGGGTTGTACATACTTTCTAAGTATTCTTCAGAGTCCCTAAGGGCCTGTTCCCAAAGGCTCTGGCATGTACAGTGGATTAAGCTTTGGTCAAGCTGGCTGGTGGACCTCAGTCAACAGTTCCTGGTTCATCAGACTACACAGTCACCAATGATATTTCATTCTAACTATTTTGGAGAAGAAAAGTATACTTCTCCACTTATTTGGGGGGGAAAATGCTTCTCAAGTTACACTGAAAGCCACAAAGGCTATGAATTTAAGAACGCAAGGAAGTGCTCCCGACTACAAAGTTTTTGAAAATCAAAGTTCAAACTGCATGTTCATCATAGTTACTGAGTATATACAGGAAGAGAATGATGCCGGTGGCTACATAAAAGGAAACAGGTAATATGTCAAAATACGAACAACAGTTGTTTCAAATAATTTGATCATACACCAGTTTAATTTTTCTCACTTTCTTGTATTTTCCAAGAGTTTTGTTTTTCCTCAGTGGACTCTTACCTGAAACAAAGTGATGGCTTTAGAAACCTCTGTCAACACACCAGCTTCCACAAAGTGCTAACCATTTCACGCTCAGAACAGGGAAGAACCTTGCACATGAATATCATTTTATTTACTTCAAAAAAAAATGCTTTCTTCTCAGGCTTCCAACCGCCAGGTTAGCTTCCGACCCTAATCTAACCTCAAAATGTCACATCCCTCAGAGGAGTCAGAGGCTGAGACACACACCTCAGCCTTCTATGCTGGAACAGCAGCTCAGAAATGAACCACCCAGTGAGGAAGAAGAGAAGCAAGCATACCTGCACCACAGGGTGGCCTCCCGTTGGAGCCTTGACAGCCCCTCGGCTGCCCTCTGTCTCGTAGTGGGCCCGGTGATGCGGCTTGGGCTGTACCTCGATCCTCAGCTCATAGGAGCCCGACTGACTGGAAAGTGGCCACTCAAGTGGGGGGAGGGATGCAGTCACTGGGATGCTGAGAAAGAGAAGGAGCTGGTCACATGTACAGCAAACCCGAAGCGGTCACCCTCTTATGTACAATAAATGTAAATGGCCCATTTTCTGGAAATTGTGTCCAGTGACACATAAACAAAATGCTGGGTGTGGAGGAGCTTTATATTGATCAGGCCTGAGCTCTTCTCCAGGTAGACATCATTTTCTTTGCTTCATCTTTCAGTGAAGACAAGGAGACCAGTTTCTCAGTGCACACAGCTCTTCTCATTACATGGCAGTTCCAGGATGTGTCTGGTTGCTGCTGAAGCCTCCTTTGGGAACTGGAAGACCAGCACCCACACGCCTCAAGGCACTCACTGGCAAGGACACTTGCCGTTTCCAGAGGAAAAAGGAAGGACAAAGATGACTTAGTGGCAATCTGGAGAAACACCTGTGTCCCTCACTTGCCATGGGACTTTACGCAAGAATATCATCGATCTTACTCATAATTTCTTATAACCACATAGAACATCTGACAGCTGTTACAGCTCATATCTACTTTTGATGATCTCACGTAAAAGTGCATTTGAGGAATAGGTCAATTAGCAGCCATGGTCATCACTAACTGGATCAATAAATGACAGGGCTCTAACCACATAGAGGTCTCTAACATGGGCATGGATGAGTCAAACCACTCCAACCTATTCACATTAAATGAAGAGTAGGGCTGGCAAGATAGCTCAGCGGTCTAAAGCACCTGCTTAGGCAAGCGCAGGTATCGGGGTTTGATCCCCGACACCACATGCTGCACCAGCCCCACTCCCAGGGAAGGCTGAGACACCCAGCATCCTGGCATAGTGGCGCATGCCTGTAATCCCAGTGCTGGGGAGGCTGAAAATAGGAGGATCACCCTAAGTCCAAGCTATGTAGTGAGACCCTGTAACAACTAAATACATTAAATAAATAATAAATGAAGAGTAAATCTCAAGCACACACTGTTTTTGCCAAGTTACACACTCATGTTCAAGCTCCAACTCTACCTCCACTACTTGGGTAACTCTGAGCAAATCCTCTAACTCCCAAGGCCCGAGGTTCCTCAGTTACGAAATGAGATACCGAAATCATATAGAGTTTATCACCAAAAGTGCTCGATTGGGGGCCGGGGAGATGGCTCAGTGGAATAAGCGCTTCCCTGACAAGCACAAGGGCCTGAGTTCAATCCCCGGTTCCACCAAAAAAAAAAAAAAAAAAAGTGCTCAATTGAAATTAACTATAATAGTTTTCCTGTAATATATTCTAATTGTCATTTTTTATACATTCTCTAACTTGGTTATGATATCAGAAATAGCACCTTCACATCTGTCTGTGAGATCGCCAGGGGGTGTCTTACGTTCCATTTGTTCATCTAGGCTCAGTGCTGCCTGACGTACACTAGGTGTTTGGCATAGATGCTTAGGGTTATGTCTCTGAGGAGGTCTGGAAAATCTGTTTAAGCTACTCCCTGCTTCACAGAACAAAAAGACCCTTCCTCGGGACAACAGAGCAAGACGCTGTCAGGGCTTCAACTTTGGTCTCTGCACTCCAAGTCCTGGGCATCACTCGTCACTCCACAGTGCCTCTCCATTTGCTAATTTATTTGAATAAATTTTTAAAAATCCCATTAATAGAACGGCCCTAGAACTACTCCTGCCAATGAATATTCAGTGGGTGGCTGGATGTGTGAGTGAATGGATGGGTAGGTGGATAGGTAGGTGGGTGAGTGAATGAACAAATGAATGAACAGCTTTATTTCAAATAAGGCTTGAACATCCAAAGTAGCTTTGAAGTTGACTATTCACAGATTTGCATCACATTGCCCTTGATTCTTCACGGTGGCAGAAATCACTCACCTGATCTGAGTTTTTTTTTTTTTGTTTTTTGCAGTACCGGGGGTTGAACTCAGGACCTTGTGCTTGACCAGACAAGTGCTTATTCTACTGAGTTATCTCCCCGGCCCTGATCCGAGTATTCATTCCCACTTAACTTAGAGCTGTAAGAAGCTGACATTATCAATTGGACTGCATCGCAGTTTCTAGCACTGAGGGACAGAGACCAGCAGAGGTGAGGGGCAGTACCTCCCTCCTCTGTCAGTGTCAAAGTCCAACTTGAGCAGTATAATCCCACTCAATCATACCTTCCCTGTGCAAGAGCACCTCCATCCCTTCTTTCCAAGCACCCGGTGCCTCCAACCCCATCTCCTAGTGAAGAAGCGCCTTCCCTCCCACCCCAGGGACACTGCCAAGAGGCCTCCAAGATCCGCCTGTAGCCAACGTGACACCCATGGTAAATACATCTATTTCTATCAGGTACACGAATTAGAATCTTATGTTTGCAAAATAAGGTGGGGGGAAAAAAAAAACCCAGCCAGGGCTGGCCAAATAGCTCAGCAGATTAAAGCCACCGCAAGCAGGATCCCTGGGGCATGCTGAGAAGGCAGTTGATACTGGGCGTGGTAGTGCATGCCTGTAATCTCAATTCTTTTTTTTTTTTTTGTTTTTGCAGAACGAGGGATTGAACTCAGGACCTTGCACTTGCCAGGGAAGCGCTTATTCCACTGGGCCTCTTGGGAGGCTGTAGAAGGATTTTTTTTTGGGGGGGGGGGGGGGGGAGGGTGCCTGGCTCCGAATGCCTGGGTTTGGCTGGCTTGAGTTGTGGGGATCGAACCACAGCAACCTGAGCCTGACTGCTTTGTTGAAGCAGCCACTTAAAGAACTGAGCTAAGGGGCGGCCCCCATATAGCAAATTCACAGCTTACAGGTTCTCTTCTTGTCTTTGTCCTGTCACAGCATGTGCTTTGGATTTTTTTTTTTTTTTTTTTTTCTGAACTGGTAATCTCAACTCTTGGGAGGCTGTAAACAGGCAGATCCCTACCATCAGATCTAGTAGTGACACCCTGAACACCCTGCAGACCCTTCCCCTAAAATAAATAAATAAATAAATTTCAACCAGCCACATCAACCCTGAATTGATCATCTTTTAAGGTACCAAAAAACTTCAGTGTTTACTTTTAATCTTTTACTAAAGATTTACTAAGATATCACCAAGTTCTAATTTCTGACCTTTTTTTGGCTCTGAAACAGGTATCTGACACGGATATACTACTTTAAGAACTAGACCACTGCAGCCAGCCTGAAGTCGTGTACTTTAATCCAACCTACTCTCAGGTGCCCTCACGAAACGCATGTCACCATGAGGTCCCCCCAGTACCCATCCTGTCCATCTCGCAGGAAATGTTTCCCAGTATCAGACTAATCGGCACAGATTGGCACCTACTGGGGACTAAAGGACTCTATACTCAAAGCCTCTTAGATCAAGCAGCAGAATGGAGCCGAGAGGATTTTACAAAGTCTCAGAGACATTTATTATAGTCATTTTTCGTACCGACTCACTTCCTCACTCCAAATCACCACAGCTTCAAGACTGGCCTCTAGCAGAAGGAACAAGGACCCGTGTTCTGCTTCCCACGATGGCCACCAAGGAGCTGGTGATTTCAGACTTGTTGATTCACCTCTCTGAGCCCAGAAGCCTACTCTGTACCAGGGGTCAGATCTAGATCCACATCTCCTAACGTGGCTCTGTGAAACTGCAGTCCCTGAACTCAGAAACTCTGGAGCCAAACAGTCTCTAAAATCACTGCCCAGGGGGCCTGTTCTTTAAGTGGCTGCTTCCACAAAGCTGTCAGCCTCAG